TACTACTACTACTACTACCAATAAATCAGTAGTATGAAATGTATTCACCCTATTTCGTGTAAGGTGAGAAAGAACTGCTTCATCAACAATATGGTACTCTATGACCCCATGGCCCTCGTGTCACGGTTCGACTCCCGCTGGCAGTGTTGTCAAGACCGAGGTCGGGTCCACACCAGCCGGGATGAGATCAACTTTCGAGAAAGCATGATTGTGTGAAAATCATCACCTCAAACGAAACTGGGTGAATACACCTCAAATGACAGATCTTTTGTTGGTCTTTATTTCACACAAACCAGCAATCGTCGGCTCTTCTCTTCAACCGATGCTTGCAAGAAGATCCGACACGAAAGCAAACTGTTTACCCGAAAGACTTACAAGTTGTGGAAGCAAATCTCGAATAAGACCATATTTAGTGTCATTTCTGGCGTGGGCAAGCGAAAAGTGGCGTGACTTGATGCAGCTTATTGGCAAGCTCAGGAATCGGATCAGACAGAATGTGGCAAACTCGACCAGAAAATAACGTTACTTCTTGAATAATAACTTTGTCACTGCAAAAGATCCAATGACTCCTTTCAGCCGAGTCTTGCCAAGTCACCACAAGCCTTCTGGGGTGACTATCCTCCCATTTCGGTAGGTTCGAAAGTGTGCGATTGGCTGGTTTGAGACACACACTCGCCCAAACATGGCGTACATTTGATGTGGGCTGAAATGGCGACTGAAAGTTGCATAAAAGACAAAAAAGAGCCCAGCTCCGCGTCGATGTCAAGCCCTGTTTTGTCTCCTCGTGACGGACAGCGTCGCGAGCAGAATGCATTAATCATACAAACTCACATAAACACATAATCTATGAAAGATAGCCGATCTCATTTTGGTCATCTGGTGAGTTGAACAACTGAATTGATGCCTGAAAAAGCGGTGCCCACATGCAAACAGACACGTCTGTCGCATGGCACTTTGGCAGTCTCGGCACACCTACACTGTCGACAGACGGGCAAGTTTGACCTTTGTTGAGGTTGGTTGATTCCAATTCCGTTGAGTCAATCCAAACGAGGAGAATAGCCTTCGGAAGACGAGACCGAGAAACAAATACAGAATGTCATTCATGATCTGCTGACTGTCTTTAAACCCCTCCACTATCAACATGACAATGTGCCCATCCAACTTAACCTGATAATAGTACACACACACTCACAATCGGCATAGAAACAACAGAAGAAAGAAAGCGGCAAGAAAGAATGAGATTAACAAGAATAACAAAAAGTAAAAGAATACAAAAAAAATAAATGAACAAGAAAAACAAGAACTATAAAAATTACAAGCACAACAACAATAACAGACACTTGGTGAATAGAGAATTAAACAATAATGACGAGAAAATACTGGATGAAGAAATAATATATTATAATGTAATAAAAAATATATCACACGAACGGCATTAAGAAAAATGAAATAAACTAATTTCCGCAAAAAAGGTCTCACACCGTTGCCATGGCAACATGAGAAATGGATGTGGATCCTCTTCAAAGTTTGCACCTACTTTGACATCAAATGATGCGCATGAAATGCATTCCGCCCACTCCGTTGACGATGTGGAAGGACTGGCATTTGAATTTTCACACCTTTTCCCTTTTCATTCCACATGCATTGAATTGTTTGCAAAAAGATGCATATTTTGAAGATGATCTACAATCACGTTTAGATGCCATGGCACCGGGCTTAGATTTATTTTTATTACTGTTCCTGTTGTTCTACTCATTTTTATTGTTGGTGTTATTGTTGTCGTCATTTAGTTCTTCTATTTATTATTGTTCGTCCGGTTTTTATCATTCTTTTACACCGTCGAAATTGTGAGGTTGTCATGTCTCCTGTTTCATTTCTATCACTTACAGCTCTTGTCAAATTCACTGTGAAATTCAACGGAATAGGCTGAGTATATCTCAAAGATATGATCTGTTGGTGGTCTTGAAAATCCACTTCCAAATGAAAAATAGAAAATAACCAAAATAAGATATGAGATGTATTCACCCAATTTCGTTTAAGGTGATGAAGGACGGCTAGAAGAAAAAATTTCTTACAATCATGTGAGATGAGCTGACGTTTCCATTTAATTTCATTTAATTTCATTTTATTTTTCGCATTTTGGTATTGTTTCGA